CACTAGGGAGTATTTCTCCCAGGCACGGCCTTGTCTATGCTGCTTTTAAAAATGTTTGTTCATTGTTGAGGGGGGTGAGGTGCGTGGTAAACCATTTATCAGGAAATGTTTTCAAACATTCTAAAGCTTAAATCATCGAAGGCATATTCTGATTCGGAGTTGCGCGGCCCCCCCCCCCCCCCCCCACACACACACACACACACACACACACACACACACACACACACACACACACGCACACACCAAAGAGCAATGCCTCTGTAATGTGTAATCTTCCCCCCAAAGCAAGATCGGACCCCTCCAACCGTCACTGTCCCTGAATGTCAAACCACTCTACGTATTACTGGTAGTTAAATTATATAAGAATGTTTAAACCTCAAATCAAACTAAGTGTAAAATACTAGAAACGCTCATTTAAAGCTTTTTAAATGAATTTAGCTAAAGAGTTCAAAGGGTCATAACAACAACAAAGTGAGAAACAACAAATGTCACTGAACATTCTGTTAAAGATCTCATGAATGAAACACCTCAAACGCCCCCTGAAGGCATTATAGTATATATATATATATATATATATATATATATATATATAGTACATTCATGATAGTACATTCATGATAGTACATTCATAAATGTACTATCATGAATGTTTATGAGTCTCTGCAGTCTGAGGGAATATCTCACTGTGACTCAGCACCTTCACACCATCATTGAGGCCTCGTGTGTCTTTAAAAGTATTCAAGTAGCATCAAACCAACATCAACTCGCCCTAAAGGAGTAAACAAACAATCTGCTCCAAACAAACAAACAAACAAACAATAAGTAGAGAAAAGACGAGAGTCTTACCGGTACCGGTGCAGCGAAGCAGCGGAGGTGAGGAAGAGGAGGAGGAGGAGGAAGAGGAGGAGGGCCAAAGGACAGCTGACCCCCAAAATAACACGAGAGCCTCAGCTCACACTGAGGACACGTGTGTGTGCGTGTGTGTGTGTGTGTGTGTGTGTGTGTGTGTGCGTGTGTGTGTGTGTGTGCGTGTGCGTGTGTGTGTGTGTGTGTGTGCGTGCATGCGTGTGTGTGTGTGTGTGTGTGTGCGTGTGTGTGTGACATTCCCTCCCCTGGCCTCTCAGCACTCTACCGTCCTGCTTGTCTCCTTCTCGTGATGGTGTCTTGTTACCAACCTGCTGCTCTTTCTATCAAAACACAATTCAATCCTCATTCTCATCCCAGAAAACTCCTCACCATCTTTTCCAAGCCCCTTTTCCCCAATCAGAGACACAGGTATCAGCACTAATGTCCGACTGACTGACATCTTCAGTGGATGGAAACCACCACGTGAAGATCAACCCTGACACGACTGAACTCTCCCGCGTTCCACGATGTGATTGTAGATTATGAAGGTATCTGAGGAACAATCCTGATAACTGGACATGTGCTAAAGATATTTGTGGAGTACAATCCTCCCATTGTGAGGCCTCTGCACTGGGTGTTCTTCACTCTGACCCCCCACCGGACCACGTGATGGTGACAAGCGTCTCCTCCAGGCCGGGTCCTCCAGGACAGGTGTCACAGTGAATGGACCAGAATCCTCCCATTGTGAGGCCTCTGCACTGGGTGCTCTTCACTCTGACCCCTCCTTTATGTTGGACGTTCCATCCGCTTCATTTTCAATCTCACATTATCTTTATCCACATATTTGAATCCACTGTGAGTCCTCACATGTCTTTGCTCTTATGTTGTTACAGCCTTGAATAGGAAACTGGTCCTGACCCGTATTACTAATATTGGCTCATGTTTTAAGAAAGGATCTTGAAGTGTGTTCTGCTGATGACCAGGTGGTGGCAGCACTGAGTGTTAGTGTGTGTTTGTGTGTGTGCCTATGTCTGTGTGTGAGTGTGTGTTTGTGATTATCATCACCCACGGAGGCCCCGAGAGTGACCCTGTTGACCGTTTACGGTGTGTCTCGTTATAAGGTGACACAGTCTGAATAACGTCTCCATCCAAGGACGCTTCCTCTCAGCCTCGTCCTGCTCACAGAGGGTGAAAGACGTGTTATGGCGTCGTACCACCAGCATGAGCTTCACTGTTCCGTATTCCCTGCAGCGTGCATATGGGTCACAGCAGACTTACACAAACAACCGCGCTAATTTCACACACACAATTAACTCTGTGGGGGTTAATGACATTGCGCATCACTACTCATGTAACCTTTGTGTGGGTACATTTAGAGGGGCGATAAGAGCCCCCCCGTGTCTGTCAGCCAAAGATTAAACCCACAAGGATCCGTTTAGCGTTAGAGCGAGCTAATCTATGCTAATGACGGATCAAACCCGCGGCTCCGGGCCTCGTTTGGAGGCGTTGGAGGAGACGCCGGGTGGGTTGTGGGGATGTTTTCCACCTTTTCTTTGAGGACCTCACTCACACACTCTCAGGCTCAGCCTCTGAGGCTTTCTGAAGCCAAAGCACTTTTTTATCCGAATTCTGAAGATGGATTCCGCTGGCTCTCAGGAAATGTCTACAAAGTCACACCTGCAGGCCACTCCCTCGTCAGCCCCTCACCTGGTCTACAAAGCCCCTCCCACCTGCAGACCACTCCCTGTCAGCCCCCCATCTGGTCTACAAAGCCCCTCCCACCTGCAGGCCACTCCCTCGTCAGCCCTCCCCATGTCTACAAAGCCCCTCCCACCTGCAGGCCACTCCCTCAGGCCACTCCCTCTGAAGTGATCCACCTGGGTGTCAATCAGAGCAGCGAGGAGCAGCCAATCAGCTCAGAGACTGTAGATCGCTCTCGACCTCTCGGCCACTTGACAACAGAGAGCAGAGAGTCTATTCAGGGGACAAATGACTGTTGTGTCTCTTCTTCTTGGGATGAAATGCTGACACAGATGTGTGACATCACCACCACAGCTGTATGATAGCTGATCATCATGTTTACACGAAGACACAACACGACGTGGTCCCGCCCCTCTACATCATTAAACACACTATGGAGACGATACAGAGAAAAGACTTTTACAAGGATCGGTCCTCACAAACATTAAGAACACAAAACAGGCTTTTCCCATCAGCATGTGCTGTGTGAGCAGCACAGTAAAGATCCCCAGAGACTGGATCCCCGTCTGGATCTTTATGTATGAGGTATTGCTTCTGGCCCGAGGTGCACAGAGTCCACCGCCATCAGTCTCCATCACCCAGACGCAGCAGGACCAAGGCTTTGTGTTGCTGGTGCTCACACGCATGCCAACACTCTCCTGGCACGCACACACACACACACACACGCACACGCACACGCACACACACACACACACACGCACACGCACACGCACACACACACACACACACACACACACACACACACACACACGCACACACACACACACACACACGCACACTAGTGCTCATTTAATCGGTGTACAGCGACACGTTGGGCCTCGTGATTCGAGGGTGAAGCGTCGCTGCTCCAGTAGCTTCACTACTTAGTTTACTCACATGAGAGGGATTCAATCATTCTTCATTTAAAGGAACTTTAGGAAGGTCGTGAACTTAGAACACACATCAGTATCCAGCTGTATTCTGCAGGAACAGAAGCAGAACATTAGAATATTTTCCAGCAGTATTCAAATGTCAAATGAAAAGTGACTGACAGTAACAAGTTGATGAGTTAATCTCTCTGTAAACTCTTCAAAGAACAACAACTTGTTTTCTTTACACCACGTGTCGTTTATCTGACGCTTTTATCCAAAGCGACTCACAATAAGAACATTTCAACCATAAGGACACAAACTCAGAAGAATTCTGATTTTCATCAAATAAGCCGATGTACAACTTGCTGTAGATAAGAACCATTATGAGTCCAATGTAAGTGCTACAGTTAGTTAGTGTGTTAGTGGAGGTAGAGTGTGAAGAGGTGTGTCTTTAGTCTGAAGATGTGAAGGCTCTCTGTGGTCCTGATGTCTTCAGAGACCTCCTTCCACCATTTAGGAGCAGGACAGCAAAGAGTGGAGATCTAGTCGAGTGTTTTGCTCTCAGTAAGGAGGAACAAGCAGTTTATCACATGCAGAGCGGAGAGTGCGGGTCGGGATGTCGGGTTGGACCAGGTCCTGGATGGAAGCTGGAATGTTCTCCATGAGGAACGTTCTCCATGAGGAACGCTCTCCATGACAGGCGTTCTCCATGAGGAACGTTCTCCATGAGGAACACTCTCCATGAGGAACGTTCTCCATGAGGAACGCTCTCCATGAGGAACGTTCTCCATGGCGTCTCGATGGACTGCAGCCTGGCCCCGGGTCACAGGCCCTCCAGCTGATGGCTGTGACCTCTGCACGGCTCTCAGAGCTCTTTCCTCCTGGAGTGGTCCTCACACGGAGAGCCTCTCTGCTGCAGCGCTGAGAGGAAGGAAGGAAACGTAATGAGATGTTCAAGAGAGCGGGTCATTGGCAGCCTTTATATTCTTCTGAAAGGTCTTCCTGCAGCACAGACGATGGGAGAGTTGCAGGATTAGTGAGAAGCTCCACAGGAACATCTCCACTTGATCACTATTGAGCACATGAAAGCTGGCTCTTCACACACATGGTGAAAAACCCATTAATCCATTTTTTGATGCTAAAATATAAACAAAACAAACTGTTTTTGTCGTCTATACTTAAATTATTGGAATACATTTTAAATAAGAAAACATTATGAAGTGAAATAGCTAAAGAATGTCTTCAGACTCAGTTCAGACTCCAAATAACATTAATCATCACGTCAGAGCACATTTATCCATCACGGTGACGGATCCATACAATAAACATCGTTATCTAATCACCTCCGGGCTCATATTAAATAAACTGATATTTCTGACATGTTTACGGATCAATCCGAGCATCACACCTGCTCCCGCTCACGTCGCCATGACAACGCATGTCAAAACCGTCTGTGGGACGGGCAGGTCCTTTCGTCTCTCTGGCCGGGGTCACTTGGAGTTGTCAAAATGTGACGATTCAGATGAATGAGAGGTTACACGTCTCCCAATGTCTGTCAGGTGGTCGGTGGGGCTCAGGTGAGCCTGGTGGAGACGAGAGCGTCCAAACACACTCCTGTTCTGCTTCATCCAGAGGAGCAGATGATGATCAACAACAGCCCATATGAGCTCACGTCCCAATCAAATTCTTTTTCAGCATCCTGGTAAAAAAGGTTACGTAATTCATCCATTCATCCATTCACACACTGACGGGAGGGGCCACACGGAGGCGTCACCAGGGAGAGCAAAACTCCAAAACAACGGTGGGGGGAAGACGTCTTCATTGTTGCAGAAGGAAGTAGGGTGATGTTTGGACAACTGTCATGTATTTATGTCCAAACCTGTGGCGGCAGGTTGTTGGAGCTGGTGGAGCCTTCTGCTGAACACCATGAGACACACATCAGGGGATTCAAACTCATACACGGAGTATAATCAGTCTAATCTCGGACCACCTGGAGCTTTTGGTCCACATAACATTTTTATTTCGACCCGCTTCAAGTTGAAGACGTCTCTGGTGGTGAAACGACTGTCTGTCATCACCTCGCATTTCATGACGAAGACCGCAGAAGGTCCATTTGGGTCGAGCCTTCCATTTGGACCTGAACTCTGCTGCGAGGGCGTCTGTCCCCGTACGCCTCGTCCATCTGTCCCCGTACGCCTCGTCCATCTGTCCCCGTACTCCTCGTCCCCCCGTCGCTGTGATCCTCGGGGATGTTAAAGCAGTGGCGATGTCTATCTGGACCAGAGAGGAGATCATGTCCTCGTGTGCCTCTTGAACGTCTTTATTCTCGGTGTCAATCAGCACGCGGCCTTCCATCCCTGGACCTGGTCTGCAGAGGTCATCGGCGTAGTTTCTCTGCCCCCTTCTCCTTTGGCTCCCATCACTCTTTTGATTGGTGGTCCTATGATTGGTTGGTTATCAGCAGCTGAGGAGGCGCAGAGGCTTTTTCTGCTCTTTTATTCTCATGATCCCTT